GCGCCGCGGAGGGAGGGAGGGGGCGGAGGGGACCCGGCCGGCTGCAGAGGAGCGCGCGGCGCGCCCACCCTCGTCCTGGGCCTGCACGGTGCAGGGGCGTTTATTGCTCTAGCATCAGGCCTGGCTCGCCTGGAGTGGACCTATGACCACGCGGGGGACTGGCATCAGCTGGCGGCTTCCCGGGACGTCCCTGGCTGGTATTCACACTGAAGGAAGGTGTAAGAAATAAAGATAGGTACAAAGGAGACGAGGGAAATTGTAACTTTACAAGTTGAGCCAGGGCCGGGGATAGAGCTCAGCGGCACAAGCGCGTGCCTGGCAAGCGCAAGGTCCTGAGTTCGATTCTCAGTACCAAAAAAAAAAAAAAATTGAACCATTAAAAGCCAATATGTTGGGATATTGGGTTAAATAACCATTACTTATTGCGGGCTGATCAGGCCCACAATCTCACAAGTGAGTGGACCGCGAAGGCTTACATAAATGAGACAACTGAAATGACTTCAGGGCTCCAGGAGGGACCAACTCTCTTACAGCTTCGATATTCTCTGAGTTTAGACCAGGACTTCCCTAGGCAGTCCATATTTATTTGGTTTACAAACAAAAAGCGGGCATCTGAGCAGGACTTGGAAAACCCTTTAAGGACTTCTCCAAGTAAATTTGGGAGAACTATGTTATCTCCAGGAAGGCCTTCACTGCAGGACTGAGAAGCCTGTAGCTACAGTCTCCCTGAAGTTAATTGGGGTTGGAGCCAGACGTCCTCAGCTGTGGCCTTATCTTGTCCTTTGAGGTGTCACGGCTTCACAGGCCAATCGAGGCCTCAGTGGTGACCAGGGACTCACAGAGGTTCACTTACTATGAGCCCACTGCCCACCTTCAGACAAGGTGCCTGAGCTTCAGACAACTCACAAGTAAACATGGAAAGCCAACTGGTTAATATTAAATCCTGCTCAGAGCCACTTTGTAGTGGTCTCCAACAGTGCTATTCTCAGCCGTCTGCGAGGCTGAGGCAGGAGGACCCCAGGTTCGAGCCCAGCTTAGGCAACTTGGTGACTTGATGAGACCCTCTCTCAAAAGTGGTGGTGGGGGCCTTCAAATAAAGTGCAGAGTGAAGGCCATGGGTTCAGGGTAAGAGTACCACCAAGAAGAATATCTTATTGTATCTTTATAAAAACTGCAGCTTCAAGCTGGGTGTGGTGGTGCGCACCTGTGATTCCAGCACTCAAGAGGCTGAGGCAGGAGGGTAACAGCAAGTTGGAGGCCAGCCTGGGCTACACAGAGTTCAAGGCCAGCCTGGACTGCGTAGCTAGACCCTGTCTCGAAAAACAAAATAAAACAGAAAACTGCAGTCAGGACACAAAGCCAGTCAGAACTTCCTAAAGACAAAGGCTGGGCCGTTCCCTCGGTCCTGTGAAAGCCCTTTTCTCTCCTGTGACCGGACCATCCATTTCTCCTGTAAAATGGGCCTTTTCCTTAAGCACGGGCCCCTACCCTACCGCCATCGCTTTTCACCCATAGATCAAACCCCTTTTCGGAGTCACAGATTCCACTGGTGTCCACCCCCAGTCCCGGTGAAGATCCCCAGCTCCCTCCAGGCAGCGCCTCTCCCCGCCGAGGGCCTGCGGTTTCACTGTGTGTACAGGACTTGCAAAGGCCTGCCTGAGCGGCCTCTGTCTGCCTCTTTGCTCAGGTCCTAGGTTCCCTTTCCCGAGGTGGACGTCCTCGACCCCCAGCCTGCTCCGTGGGTGGCAGGGCTCCCCACCTCCACTTCTGGGGCTCCTCGGCAGCTGTCCAGTGCCAAGAGGACCCTCGGCCCAAGTGTAGCAGTGTCTCCATCGTGGTCTGAGTCGGTCGCCCCTTGACCCGCCCTGTAGCTGCACCCAGGTCCCTGCAGGGGCCCCAGGGGGCCCCCACTGCGCACACTAGCTGCACCCCTGTGGGAGCTTGATTTTCTCCTGCGCTGGCGACCGAAGCCCCGGCTCACCCCAGCCCAAGACGCAGACATTTGCGGAGAGAGTTGCAGTGCGGCCTTGGGGCTGGCACTCGAGTTCCCACAACCATGTTCGGGGGCATCACCTGCGTGCCCCGAGCTCGCGCCGCCCCTTGGGGGAGCCAGGGGCGCTTTGCCCTGAGTCTCAACCCTTGCCACATTCTTCTGTGGCCCGAAATCGGGAAAAACCCACGAAATCTGTTTACAGATCCTCCCAGGCCTGGGAGTGCTGGGCCTCTTGAATAGGAAGCCTTGTGCAAGCCTGAGCCAGACCAGTGACCGCAGGCTCAGACCGAGAACGGCCGGCCCTGAACTTCCTCATGCGCGTTAACTCCTTCACGCTCTTGCTCTTGAGGAGGCAGCTGCGCTTGGTTGCTCCTCTCCGGCGGATTTTAAACCCATGCTTGGGGCCGCACGAGTTTCCCTCTCCTCTGTTTGCTTCGGCCGGGGCTGCAGAGCGGCAGCTGGGCCCCGGGAGCTTGTTCCCGGCCAGCGCTGTCCCCCAGGCACCAGGGCCACACCTCTGTCTGGGAGGTACGTGGGGTACCCCTGGGGTACAGGGAGGGCCCCCAGCGCACATGCTGACTTCCTAATACAGCGTTCACGGTCAGAGGGGAGAGTGTGTTGGCCCGGTGCTGAATGGGCCATTCATGGCGCACACAGGCTGATTTTGGCAGATGTACAAAGAGCAGGGAAAGCAAATAGCCAGCCCTGAGCTGTTCATCCCAAGAAGGAAGACTGCCTGCGGGGTGTGCAGGAAAGCACCCAGCGTGCTGCACCGCGGAGGGGAGCTGGGCCGCCCGGCGTGGCATGGACGTGCGTCAGTGACGTTGCTGGCTGAGCAGAGGGTGTAATAATTTCCAGGAGGGCACTGACAATCCAGCATGGCACTTTATTAGTATTCCTGATATATTACAAGGGGTCTGTTCCCCCTTCCTTCTTTCCTACCTTCCTTTCTTCTTTCTTTCCTTTTTTTTTTT